TATCCGCTGTTGGGCTAGCCAGGTTTGACTTTTGAAAGAATTTGATCTGAGTGGTAATTACTTTTCATTTTTCAATCTGTACAAGAATTTAGTGCTGGGGAGAGGCACCAGACCATTTATCTTCCTATCCCTTCACCAGTCCATCCATCAGCATTTATAAAGCATTCATGTAGGCAGCGAGTTATTTGGGCCCATGGTGCCCGTGCTCCACCAATATTCAGGAACATGGGCCCAGCTCCAACAATGTTGGGGCTTATATTTTCAGAGCCATCCCATCCATAGGATGGACTGGGGCAACCGCCCCGGGCCCCGTGCTTTGGGGGCCCGGTGTTTCAAGGGGACGCGGAGTCCAGGGTGGTCTGAGGGGTTAGGGGGGGCTTGGCCACAGCAGCAGCTCCGCCCTGCATCTTCCTGTCCCTGCTACACCCCCACCCCATCCCCATTCCACCCCTTCCCTCAAGCCCCTGCCCTGCCTCTTTCCAGTTCCCGCACCCTTCCCTGAGAAACACAGGGAGCCGGTAGGGTGGAGCAGAGCGGAGTGGGGAGGGTTGGGGCTGAGTCACTCACTGCTGCCAGCACCAGGACCCCTGCTAAATCCCCAGGCTGCCCTGGATCCCGCATCCCCCTGAAGTGTGGCACCTCCCCCCACAAAGAACGGGGACTGGGGCGCTAGCTCCCAGCCCAGTCCGTTCTGCTTGGACCCGTTCTGGGCACCACCAAAAATGATACAAACCTAGCACCCATACGCATTCCTCATGGTAGCGGCAGTGCTACACCCGAAAGCCCTTTGTTTATTCACCAAGCAGACAGACAGAGGCAGCGGTAGTGCAAGTTTCCTATGCACACGGCCCCATTCGTATACCTCCACCATACCTGGAGAGAGCACAAGTAGGCCTGAGTGACTCTTTCATTCCTTGGCCTCTGTCCTGAGGTTATCCACTGTGTTTTTCCGATGGGGAGAGTGGGTGGTGTGTGCGTGTGAAGGGCTGGGTGCTATTCTGACATATTTCAGCTGGTTGAGATAACACCCAAAACAAAATAGCCCTGCCCCATGGCTGTGAACATTACCCACAATACCAGTCACCAGGGATTGACAAGCACGGAGACTGGCAGAAAATAAACAGCAACTGGGAAATTCACAAGGGCATGCAAAGTAGTACAAAACAAACTCAGATCCCCAAAGGATAAATGCTAAGAATGCAGGCCATATTTACAGGAGCGGGACTCAACCTTGGGAAGCAATGACTCCAGAAAAAGACTTGGGGAGTCATGATGGCTAGACAGTTGAACAAGAGCAGCTCCCAGTGAGATGCTGTGGCTAAAAGGCCTAATGCAACCTATGGATGGATAAACAAAGGAACACTGAGGAGGAGTAGAGAGGTTAAATAACCTCTGTATTTGGCACTGATACGATCACTACTGGAATACTGTGTCCAGTTCAGGTGCCCACAATTCAAGAAGGGTGTTGAAAAATTGCCACGAGAACAATTGAAGGATTTGAAAACATACTTTATAGTGAGAGAATCAAGGAGTTCAATCTACTCAGCTTATCAAAGAGGAAGTTAATGGGTGACTTGAGCAGAGTCTATAAGTCAGGGGCATGGCCAGGGCCTAACCAATTAGCCCACCAACATCTGAACCTGTATGAATGCCAGCTGAGAAAGTGCCATCCAGCAGGGGAGCCAGCCCTTCCTTGGCCCCACTAGTGCTGTGTCCTGCTGGCCCTTCCAGGCAAGTCCCCTTGGACAGAGCGCTGTGCATACCCTCGTCCCTGGGCTCTGCTGACCTTGATACTATGGGAGCAGGCCTTGTCTGGCCAGTGATGCTTCCCAACAGCCTGTGGTTAGGGGTTGGGCTATGGGGCTTCTGGGCTGTGTTCCTGGCCTTGCCGTGGTCTGGCTGCATGCCTGGAGTGAGTCACAGCCCTTTCCCACTAGCTCCCAGCCCAGCTCAGTGGCTTTTTTGGAATGGGATCCAGCTTCTCTTGAGGCAGAGGGGTGTAATGAGCCCAGGACTGGGGGCATTGGACCAGGATCCAGATGCCCCCAGTGCTGTCAGGGCCTTGCCCCATGCCCAGTTCAGCACTGGGGCTTGTGGCTGGCCTCACTAGTGCAGACTCCATCACTCTCTTCCCTGTACTGACAGAAGCTCCCTCCCTTGGGGCTGAGGGCTCCTGCCATGCTGATGACACCCCCTCCTAGCCATGTGAGCGCTCCTCGTCGTCAGGACACACAAGTCGGGAGATGCCTATCTCAGGGAGGTTCATGCCAGCAGCCCAGCTGCTGTATGTGCCAGTTCTGGGTCCGAGTAAAGGATTCTCTGGCCTTCTTGGAGAGATAGCAAGGTCGTTAGGACTCTTGGGTTCCATTCCCTCCTCTGTTGCTGGCTGGCTGCATGTGCTGGGGCTGGGCCACGTCCTTTCTCTTGGCCTCAATTTCCCCTGGTGTCACTGAGGCTGCTGTGGATGTGGAAGGAGACAGCCCAAGACATCTCAAGCTCTCATGGGGCTGTGACCATGCACCCCCATCCAGTGCGAGGGGTAGGTTGTTGGGGTGCTGAGACTGGGTGCTCTGTAATCGCACCCTGTCTAGCCCTGACAATCTGGCTCATGACGCAGAACCACAGCATACTGGTGACCGAGTGCAGTGCCATGCCCTTCCTGCCTGTCAATGGAAGGGAATCTGGGGCTTGCTCTCCCTTGCGGCCTGTGCCCCCCACACGCCCACATCAGCTGATGGAGTTAAAAGTCAAACCAGCCTGGGATCATGACCCCCCGCAAGGGGCTGGAAAGCCATGGTCTGCATTTCTTGGGCCCAGCATAGTCGTGGCAGTAACATGACACCTCCAAGGGATGAGCTAGCAGGATTGGACCCTGGTGTCTGCTTTGATCTGCCAGCCAATGTGCTAGGTTGTACACTGACTGAGGTTCTCTCTGGGTCTGCAAAGCATGGTACAGCCAGCAGGAAGCAGTTACTCCATTGGGGCAAAGGAGAAGTGTCTATGTGCGGCTTCTGGGTCCACACTGGTGGTATGGCTGGGCACTGTTATAAGGGAGCACCCAGTGTTTTTGGGGGAGGGGGCCAGTTCTTGCACTCCAATACAAGGGGGTTGTCATGGGGTGCATGCTACTCACTGCTCAACAGCACCTCCTCTTGGTCATCTGGGGAATTAGCTTGCCACTGTCCATGTCCTCTCCTGAAGTCACTCAGCCCATTGCCTCAGTCATTCACTCTGTGGCCCCTCTCACTCTGGATAGGAGCTGCAGTCAGGGCCATCCCTAGACATTTTGGTGCCCTACGCAACACCCCCTGTGGGCGGAGGCGGGGAGCGTGTCCCCAGGCCTCTGTGGGGAGCGGGAAGCTGCACCCAAGGTCTATTGGGGGCATCAGCAGGCTTGGGGGGTAAGGGGAAACTGCCCCCCATCACGAGCCGGTGGAGTGAAGTGGGTTGGGGCTGGGTCGCACTCACGGGGTGGTGGGAAGTGGAGTGACCAGGCCCCGGCCTGCTCCTCTCTGCTCCCCTGGCTCTCAGACTTGGGGGGTACAGGAGAACTGCCCCCCAGCACTCATCGGCGGTGTGGAGCGGGCTGGAGCCTGGTCGCCCCACTTCCTGCCGCTCCGTGAGTGCAGGCTGCGCCCAACTCCTGCTGCAATCCCCCAGGACATAGCTCAGGGGAAGGGGTGGAGTGGGGGCGAGGCTGGGGAGGAGCAGGGATGGGAAGAGGCGGGGTGGGGATGGAGCACGGGCCGGGACTTTGGGGAAGGGGTGGAGTAAAGGTGGGGCTGGGGCGGAGCAAGGGTGGGAAGAGGCAGAGCAGGGGCGGAGCAGGGGCCAGGGCTTTGGGGAAGAGGTGCAGTAGGGGCAGGAGTGGGGGCAGCTTTCCTGGCCAGCTGAGGTCACCGGGGGATCAGGCTGGCCGCTGGAGCAGCATGCAGCTGCGTAGGGCACCAGGAAATTTGAGGCACCAAATTTCCTGGTGCCCTACACAGCCGTGTAGTTTGTGTATGGGTAAGGACGGCTCTGGCTGCAGTGCCTCTTCTTCATGGCTCAGCCCTCCGGCCAAATCACTATCATTCTCCCCTTCTGGGGTCTTATCAAAATCTTCTTCCTCAAAGTCTCAGGCAGTTTCTATCTCCATGGTGCTGACTGCACTACTCGTGCAGTAGTTCATAGGGGATCCCAGGCCGGCCCGCTAAACCAGGTTCCAATCCTGGGACCCTCAGACCAGCAGTTCCTTCCTTCCCCTACTAGCCTGTACCAGGTAAGGGGGCCATAGAGTGGGGTGGCTCCTGCATGGATCTGTGGGTCTTGGTGTGAATAACCCATGGTGGAAGGAGAGCCACAAAGGGACCGTGGGGCTGGCACACTACTGGGGGGCAGCCTGGTGGAGCAGTGATTTAGGGCCCTCATGGCTCATGTGCTTTCTGTGACATCAGACCTTTGGTCATGGCCTAGCCACTATAAATGGGGGCCCACCCAAATGTCCACTCCTAGCTACACCATGGCTGTAAGTACCTACATGGGAACAGAAATTTGATAATAAAGGGCTCTTCAATCTGGCAGACAAAGGTATAATAAGATCTAGTGGTGGCTACCAGTCAAAATTAGAGAATTCAGACTAGAACTAAGGTGAAGATTTTTAACAGTGAGGGTGATTAACCATTGGAACAATATACCAAGTGTTGTGATGGATTCTTCATTACTAGAAATTTTTAAATCAAAATTGGATATTTTCCTAAAAATATGCCCTATTTCAAACAGGAATTAATACAGGGAAGTCTTCTGGCTCATATTATGCATGATGATTACAATAGTCCCTTCTGGGTTTATAATCTATGAATCGATTAAGTGGACTGCAACCCTTTTGCAAGCAGTTCACTTTATCAGATGGTAATAACATTAGAATTTAGTGGGCACCCTGCCTGATAGCCATAAGGGAAAAAAAGTTGTCTATTATCATGTACATCCTATATTATTTTGGAGTAGGCTGATGTGCTCACCTTCTCTCTCTCTGAAGAGTCTAGTTCAACACTGCAGGTAAATGGGTGTTATTCTTTCAGCTGGTGGTCTTTGTTCAGCAAGGTCGCCTTGAAGCTTCTGGCCCCCTACACAAGATTAGAGAATAACACTTCTTATGGAGTCAGAGATGGCAGAATTTTTTTAAATAATCATAGGATTTTCCATCTCAGGTCAGACCACTGTCCAGTCTAATTTAGTCCTAAAGAATTGTGTTCACCCTCTTGCCTATACGGGTTATGCTGGACAATATGTGAATATCATTATTTCCCTTTTCCATTATCATTGCTACCACCACCATAGTAAAAATAGGGGAGGAGAGGCTGATTTAGTCTGACATCCTGCCTCTAGCACTAGCCAGTATTGGATGCCTCTCCTTTATGGCAAAGGTTTTCACTTACAGAGACCTTATAAACATCACATGAAAAGGATTTCAAGTGAGGAAAGTTATTTTCTTCCTTGCCTGCTTCTCTTGACAGGCAGGGATGTAAGCAGCAAAGCCACATGTCCTGATTTCTGCCTCCTTCAAGTTAGAAAGAGAGGCAGAAGCACAGTTATTTAAAAGTTATGCGCAGAGATGTGACTGTTGGCATTTTTTTGTAGGACACAAACAAGCCCCCAGTGTACTGGCACCTCTGGGCCTTTGCCCCTTAGATCCCCAAGCAGTCAGTTGTTTCCAGAGCACCTGTTATAATGGGATGTTATAAGGAACCTATTACACATCTCCATTTACTTCCTGAATTCAGGATGGACTAGAAACAGAAACACTGGGATTGCTTCCTACTAGGTATTAACATAAAGTCTAGCACAATCGGATCCTGATCTCAACTGGGGCTTCCAGGTACTACCAGAATACAAATAATAACAATAACAGAAAAATGCATGGTTCAGTGGTCTGAGAATAGGACTGAATACAAGGAATGTCTGGCTAATCCTAATCCTGGTTCATATAGTTCCTCCAGTTGTGGCCTTGGGTAAATCACTTAACCTCTGCATTTCATTTCTGTACCTCTAATCTGCCTGTTGCCAAAATATCTAGGACTGGTTCTGGGAATTCCTGTCTATTTGAAAAGAGTTTGTGAGGGTTAGTTAATGTTTGCAAGGTGCTTTGAAGATGTAAAATGTAATCATCTGGGGATTCCTGACTGAGGTGAAATCTTAGCCTCATTGACTTTAGAGGGGTCAAGATGCTACCTCAGGACGTTGTAACAACTAGAGAGTGTCCCTCCTGAATACCCATCCTGGTTTACACTTGCTCCAGTGCATGCTGGGACAGGACTTTGGGAGTTCAGGAAGCACTGATGGAGACCAATGCCATACAAATAGGATTAACAATACTCCTAACTACAAACCAATGCGATCAAATTTTAAAATTAGGAATTCCCAGTAGTCTGGGACACAACACTGGACACTGCCATTTAAGTGTTCAATACTACATTAAATAATAATTTTAAATAACAGCTAGAGTAATTTTGAGAATACATTTGGTCTTATACATAATTAAGTGGATTTTTGAAAGAAGAGTTATCCTCAAGAGTAGGAAATGTTGGGAATCACTCAAAAACACCTCTTCAGACGATATTCCCTGCCCTATGTCAAGACTGAAGATGCCCAGATAAGAACCCAAAACTTGATTATCACTCTGGAACTTCAAGGCATTTTGAGCATCACCCATGTCTAGCAATTGCACCCTACATTCTGCATGTCGTTGCATTTACTGTAAGGCAGTGGTTCTCAAACTTTTGTACTGGTGACCCCTTTCACATAGGTAGCCTCTGAGTGAACCCCCCCCTTATAAATTAAAAACACTTTTAAATATATTTAACACCATTATAAATGCTGGATGCAAAGGGGGTTTTGGGGTGGAGGCTGACAGCTCGCAACCCCCCATGTAATAACTTTGCGATCCCCTGAAGGGTCCTGATCCCCAGCTTGAAAACCCCTGCTGTAAGGGGACAGCATGCTGCAAAAAGCTATGTTGAAATACTTGCACAGATGGATGCAAACATAAAACTTCCTTTCCTCTCAGCGCACAATCTCCTCTCTTCCCACTCACAACAGTTCTCTTATTCTGCCAAAGAAACAAGTCAAGCAAAGTGAAATGACTATGGCACAGTCTGTGTTAGCTACTGTTGCCGCCTACAGCAGCCTAGTGAATTAACAACAGCCATTTCAGATGAAGGGTAAGAAAACCTGAGTGTACTGCTTTTTTGTGACAATTTTAGGAGAGTGCACAGTTGCCTGGGAAGAAATGAAGAAAAGCAGAAATTAATGCAAATGCTTATGTCAGCATCTGCATTGAACATCACACTCAAAGGGTATTTCGCTGTTTAGGTAGGGCCTGTCTTTGGAAGTGAAACTTTTTATACTGATCAATCAGGGAAGGGTTATAAATAAGTAAATTGGGTCTACTGGAGATCAATCATGTAGGGTCTGAAACATACACAAGACAATGGACTTTTTTTCTTTCAGAAATAAGCTGCTCCTATCATGGGAATAGTCTTTAGGGCTTGTCTACATTTACCATGGATTGATGCTGCGGCAATCGATCCACCGGTGGTCCATTTAGCGGATCTAGCGAAGACTCGCTAAATTGACCACTGATCACTCTCCCAACTCCACCCGAATGAGAAGCATAAGGTAAGTTGACGTGAGAGTTTCTCCCATCAACCCAGCATGGTGTAGACACCACAATAAGTCGACCTAAGCTATGTCGACTCCAGCTACATTACTAACATAGCTGGAGTTGTCTAACTTAGGTCGACTTAATCCCGTAGTGTAGACCTGCCCATAATGTTAGCTGGGACTGCAGTTAAGAATTAAATCTGAAGAAAAATGTGAGTTTTGCTACAAGCCAAACAAATATCTTTTAACTGCACTATATAAGACACCAAAAAAGATTTGGAGAGGTGATGAACATAACTAATCCACGTTGTCTAACTGAAATTTCTTTAGTCATCTGATACAGCAGGATTATAGATCTGACATATGACAAGATCAGGCATCAGTGGGACTACTCACCTAACTAAAGACAGCAGGACCAGACCCTTTGATCTGGGAATTGCTGTATATGTCATACATGCTTAGCAATAAATTATATAATTAAATCTTCACTTTTCCCTGGTACTTTCAGCATTAGCTTCACCACTCTTGGTTCATATTTTCAAGTTCCTGAATAAAACACACAGGGCATCTTTGCTTCTTCATAACATTTTAAAATAAAGTTCCTACACTTTTTTTCAAGAGATCTATTGTTTTTATTTGTTTAACCTAGTTATAAGCCAAGGGCTGAAATAAATCTTGGCTCCTCTGAATACAGTGGCAAAAGTCCCAGAACTTTATAAATCTTGACATCTGAGAAGTTTCTAAAAAAACAGGATCATTTTCATCATCCCATCACATGGCTGTAAGAATGGTCTGTTGATCAGAGAATCATAGAAGTTATGGAAAAGACTCATTGTTGGCTCACCTAGTCCATCCACCCTCAAGCAATGTAGGATTGCTCTCCATAGCATATTCTCCACTGATTTGTCTCATCTAGTTTATCATGTGACCAGGCTAGTGGTCTGTTCATCATGCAGTTAAGCTGGTGGTTTTCTCAACACTGAAGAGAAGTTCAGGGATTAATGTAAGCCCTGAGTGAAATGAAAATTCCTTTAGCCTTGGCTCATGCATTGTAAAACTCCCACTTAAATCCATCTCATTTCAAGTTCTATTTTGTTAAAGAATTAAAAACAAAACAAAATCTGTCTTAGGCTGGAAAGTTTTACATTCCACTGCATATGAGGGATGGTAACGTGCACCTTGTGGGCCAAATACAGCCCACACAGAGTTCCACAATGTGGCAGTTTTAATCTTCAGTACAAAGGAGAAGCCCACAGAGGTTATAGATCTGAGCATGCAGTGTTCCATCTTGCTCTGAGCAGAAACAGGGCATTGCATGATGGGCCCTGCAGTTAATGAGTACACTTGCAATCTACTACATCTTATTGCACTCAGACAACCAAGTATTGCCACTGATTTCAGTGGGAGCAGGACTGAACCCTAGGTGTGAACCGCAGATAGCTAGCAAGTAACTAAAAGGGATCTTAGTTGCACTAAATTTGCTACCCTTCAGCCCACTGATTCTTCTTACGTGCTCCATATTTATAAAGCCTTACCATGCCAGAACCTCTTTGTTGGTGCACCAGCTTCATCCATGATATCGGTACAGATGTTCACATAGTATTTGTGAGTTTATTGCCACTGTAGAACCAAAAGGGATGGATACAAGATTGTAATTTTATAGGGTCTAAAATATTACATATTGTAATTTTCATTAAATGTATGGGAATAAAAAATGTAAGTTGTAGTCTTACAGTATTTTAGTTCCTGGATGGTGGAAGTAGTATGGGAAGAAAAAAATGGTGTGTTATATTGTCCTTATAACTGGTTCCTTGAAGCATTAAAATACCTCATGAAAATTATAAACACAAATGCAGATTTATTCAGCTTTATTTGGGTTGTTGTGGAATCCAAAGTATCAGCCCTACCGTAAAGGTATGTAAACAGATATAGCCCAGAGATTACTAGAGATCAGAAAATTTCATCTGGAACTGTAAATTAAATATTATTTCAGAGGTAGCTTGGAAGATACTAGAAATGACCCCCACGCTGCAAAATTTGGATCTAGATGTAAATTTCCTCAGTGTTTGAAGATGGTCCAGATTCTCAGTTTTGGCCTATCTGTGTAGAAAATACCTGACATTATGTCAAAAGGGATAAGCAGTTAGACAATTCCTGTGCTGCAGAAGAAGTGTTTTTCACCACTATCATAGAATCATAGAAATGCAGGGCTGGAAGGGAGGAGGCCATCTAGTCCATCCCTCTGTGCTGAGGTAGGACAAAGTATATCTAGACTATCCCTGACAGGTGTTTGTCTAATCTTTTATTAAAAACCTCAAATGACAGGGATTACAAACCTCCTTAGGTCACCTGTTCCAGTGCTTAACTATCCTTAGGCTTGGCAGAATTTGATTTTTTTTTTTTTTTTTGGTAATTTCAACAGATATCAATATTTATTTTTATTTTTAAACAATTTAAATATTCATGGTTTCACAGGAGGGGCAAAAGGGGGATGCTGGTGCAGCTATGGGGCCAGTGAAAGTGGGGTTTTCAGGGGGCTCCCTGTGCAGCTGAGGGGCCCAGTTTACCATATCCCTGCAGATGCTCGGTACAGGGGAGGCTGCGCCCTCCAGGGAAGCGGAGACCCTGTTTGATTACTACTGAAGGATTTTTTTCATTGATTCATCTATCTGTGTGTGTGAAATTGATGTTTAAAGATGATTAACGGTACAAATCAAATCTTACCAAGCCTAAACTATCCTTATAGTTAGAAAGTTTTTCCTAATATCAAACTTAAATCTCCTTTGCTACAAACTAAGCTGATTCTTCTTGTCCTACCCTTAGTGGAATTAGCAACAATTGATCACCACCAACCTTTTACATATTTGAAGAATTATGTTCCACCTCAGCCATCTCTTGTTTTGACTAAACAGGGCCAGTTCTTTCAACCTTTCTTCATAGGTCATGTTGTCTAAACCTCTTATCATTTTTGTTGCTTTTCCTTGGTCTCTCTCCAATTGCTTTATTTCTTTCTTAAAGTTTGGTGGCTAAAACTGAACATAGTACCCCAATTGAGGCCTCACCAGTGCCACATATAGTGGAAAATTACCTGCCATATCTTACATACAACACTCCTGCTAATACCGAACAGAATGACATTTGTCTTTTTCTGAGCAGCATTGCACAGTTGACATTCAATTTGTGATGCACTACAACCCCCAGATCTTTTTCTGCAGTACTGCCGCCTAGCTAGTTATTTACCATTTTGTATTTGTGCATTTTAATTTTCCTTCCTACATGTAGCACTTGGCACTTGTCTTCATTGAATTTTATCATATTTATTTTGGACCAATTCTCCAATTTATCAAGATCATCTTGAATTCTAATCCTGTCCTCTAAAGTGCTTGCAACCTCTCCCAGCCTGGTGTTATCCACAGATTTTATAAGCATACTCTCCTCTCCATCAACCAAACCATTAATGAAAATATGGAACAGTACCAGGCCCAAGACAAACCCCTGCAGGTCCCCACTTGATATGTCCTTTCAGCTTGACAGTGAACCATTGGTAACTACTTTTTGAGTAGGGTCTTTCAAGCAGTTGCATATCCACCTCATAGTAATTTCATCTAGACCATATTTCCCTAGTTTAGGGAATGTCTTGTGTCCCTTAGGAGAATGTCATGTGTGACAGTGTCAAAAACCTTAATAAAGTTCAGTTGTATCACATCTACTGCTTCCTCCATCCACTATTGTAGTTACTCTGTAAAAGAAGGAAATTATATTAGTTTGCCATGATTGGTTATTGACAAATCCATGTTAGCTATTACTTATCTTCCAGGTTTGAACAATTGATTGTTTAATAATTTGTTCCAGTATCTTTCCAACTTAGGCTGAGTGGTCTGTAACTCCCAAGGTATTCTTTCTCCCCTTTTGGATGACCCTGTTTAGGACCATGTCTGCCTTTCATGAGTTATCAAAAATAATCGCTAACGGCTCAGAGTGCTTCAGCTAGTTTATGTATACTCTAGGGTGAATTTCATCAGGCCCTGCCAACTTAAGACCATCTAACTTATCTAAGTATTCTTTAATTTGTTCTTTCCTTGTTTTGATGTGAGATCCTTCTCCCTTGTTAATATTAATTGTGCTAAGCATATGGTCACCATTAACTTTTTTTTTTTTTTTTTAGCAAAGCTGAGCACTTCACTTCAGCATCTTCTATATGATCTGTTATTAGCTCTCCTTCCCTCATTAAGTAAGGGGCCTACTCTTTTCCCCATTATTCTCTTAGTCCTAATGTATTTATAGAACCTATTCTTTTCCTTGCTAGTTGTAAGTCATTTTTTTGCCTTTAGCCTTTCTGATTTCGTCCTTACCGGCTTGTGCTATTCGTTTATACCCATTCTTAGCAATTGTCATTGTTTCCACTTTTTTAAAATTTATTTGCAGGTCTGTAAAGAGCTCTTGACGCAGCCATATTGATGATCTCTTACCATTCTTTCCTTTGCATGGGGCTAGTTAGAGAAGATGTATAGAAGAGGAGGAGAAAGGGTTGCCCAGCACAATCCACACAGATGTAGCTGGAAGATAGAATTTTCCGCTGTTTTATTTGCATGACAAGTTCCACCACTAACTGACTTTTGATAGACAAATTAACTCTTGAAAATTGAGGCTCAGAGTTCTGATTCCAAAACAGATCAGTTACCCAAAAAGAGATCTGAAAAATAGGCAGGGCTAGCTCTTGAACAACCTTGGCCCCAGTACAATGGTATCTGGGTGCCAACTGAAGCTCTAATACAAAACTGTGGCTTCAGTAATTTGTAAGGAGTGTAGCTCCAGGTCCTTTAAACTTTTAAATTCCACAATGAATCACATAGCACCTAATAATGCAGCCCTTACATGAAAGACTCAGTAGGACTTCTCTTGAGGAAGGCAGTGGTGCCAATTACGGACACTGGATCTGGGTTCTACTCCCAGCTCTGCCACTGACTCACTATGTGACTTTGGGCAAGTCCTTTAATCTGGGTGCCTCATTTACCCTATCTATAAAAACTGACATAATGATGGTTACCTTTGTAAAATGCTTTCATGTTTATGGATGAAGTGTGCATAAGTCCTTAGTATTATTATTCACGTGAGGGCTCTTCATCTCTGTAAACTGGCTGCTACTCTACTCTAGCATTTTTCTGAGCAATCTAAAACTGAGAAGGAACCCCTCCAAGGTACAAGGTGATGGTCAGGAATTGTCTATCCGTAGGATGATTTAATACCAAAGCAAGAGGTGAGACAATCTTGCTGCCCCTTGCCCTGAGCCAGACAGCATCAGGCTTTCAGCATAGCAAAACACAGAGTATATCCCACCCTTACGCAAACTGGCAAAACAAATCTTTATTTGCAGGAAACTTAGGCTAGTGACCCAATGGAGACCAGCCCCTGCTAATCTGCCTGCTATTGCCTCAAACCTCTCAAAATTCCCAAGGGCCTACTGGTCCCTTAAAGTGGAAAATGTTCTGATTATTTCCTCACAAATATCCAGCTCATAAACACAAGAGAGACACCGAAGGGAACAGTTATGCAACAAGGCCTTATGGAAGAGAAAAAGTGCTCAAGGCAAATTGGCTATTTACATCATGTATTTTCATGCTCTGTTTGTAATATCTTGCTGCAAGATTTTCACATTTCTGTTGCGACTAGAGATGGGTGAATAGGCTTGGATGAAATAAATAAAATACCCTGCGTGAACCTTCACCCCACACTTAATTTGAATGATTTACTTTTAAAGCTCATACACATTTGGTGATTTCTGCATTTTTAAAAAATCATGTGCCCCCAATATCATGGTTTCAAGTGGCAAAATTGGGTTTGATTTCAAATTTCCCCAAAATGCAGGATCTCTCTGATCAGGTAAGTGTGTGGGTGGGAGGGAGGGTTGGCCTCATCTCCAACTAGAAGCAGAAGCAGCAAGAAAGCTATTTCTGTCATATCAATGGCTCTCACAAGGAAGCCAGATTTCCAAGCTGGAGGCTCAGAGAGGCTTCCAAAAATCTGGATATTCTTTGGAACTGAAATGTCACAGCTTCAGAGGTTCAGCTATCATTAACTGTAACCAGAAAAAATAAAGTGTTAAAAGGATAAAGTGTGAACGAGATATGACGGTTGCTTCCACAGAGAACCTGTGGAACAGTACAGTCAACCTGTGGAACTCCTTGCCAGAGGATGTTGTGATGGCCAAGACCATAAGAAGATTCAAAAAAGAACTTGATAAATTCATGGATGATAGGTCCATCAATGGCTATTAGCCAGGATAGGCAGGGATGGTGTCCCTAGCCTCTGATTGCCAGAAGCTGGGAATGAGTGACAGGGGATGGATCACTTGATGATTACCTGTTCTGTTCATTCCCTCTGGGGCACCTGGCACTGGCCACTGTTGGAAGACAGGATACTGGGCTAGATGGACCTTTGGTCTGACCCAGTAGGGCCATTCCTATGAAGGGCTACTTTAAGCACAAGCCAAGCAATCTGAGAACTGGTTCAGTGCATGTTCTGCAACTCAGGAGCTTGTCACATCTCCCTTTGGAGCAGCTAAAAGAAAGTTGACACCTTTCACTCCCTCATCTTCTCTTTCAGTATCAGAAAAGGACTGGGGAGGCAATCTTCTGGCTGATCTCTTCTTTAGCAACAGGATCCGAGAAGAAGGCAGTTTGTTACATAATTCCTTCCCTTCCCCACTGTGGGAGACTGGAGCCCTGCTTTTGCTTGGGGCCCCATGAACGTCACACCAGCCTCATGCATCGCATTTCGGTGCGTAAGCATTATGTTCAGATTGAGAAAGCAGCTGTCTCTTACGTATATAGTTTATATAGAGCTTCAGAGATTTGCTTAATGTGATAGATCTAGGCTGCCCATGATTCCCACTCCATCAGACATCACTTCTTTGAAATCAGTGCAGTGTCCATAGAAACTTTATCACTATGCAGATGTTTGTCAAGTGCTTACTGATGCTCATGATTGCTCTCCCTCCTTGGCTGCTTATGAGTCAGAAGAGTGAGAAGCACAAATGAATGACTATATCAGCTGCAATCAGAGTATGCTGCAGCTGACAACACTCTTACTAGCCTTTGGCTACAACAGAAAGAGCCAGAGAGATTAGTTCAATGTTTTTGTTTACTTTCCTAAAAGTTCTTCTGTGTTAATCAGACAAAAGAATCACTAGTATTGAATAAGGTGAAGGATTTGCCTCCTTTTCAAATAGGAATTAGAGATTACAAGATGCTGCCTTATATTAAAGGACACAGCAGCATGGTCCAGTGGATAAAGCACTGGATCAGGAATCAGCAGATCTTTGCTTTCTACATTGGCAAGTCACTTCATCTCTTTGTGCTGCAGTTAACCAGCTGTAGAAAGAGAACAACTACTATGTGGGTGAAACAAGACAATCACTATCCTCTCGAATGAACTCGCATAGAAAATTATAGAAGACATAACCACCATATCACCTGTAGGTGTATGCTTTTCATACAGCGATCACTCTCTATCTGAGCTCTCATTCCCATCCTCAAAGGAGACCTACACAACATCTTCCAAAGATGAGCTTGGAAGCTTAAACTCATAACTTGGCTAGATGCTAGTATGCCAAAGTCAGCCTGGGCAGCTATAAGAGGGTGGTGGAAGGCATATATATTAGCACCAGAATGATAAAGGCCTTTTTCCCCATAAGCCGAGAAGGGGTTTACCTCAGGCCAATTCAGGACTCCTGAGTCCAATTAAGGGCTGCCTGAGACCTTTAAAAACTCTTCCTCAGGTGAGAGAAGGGGATAGCGAGACAAGCTGCTGCGGGGCTAGTAGGAATAAGGAAGAAAGGTTGCTCCAGGATGGAGGGCTGCTCTCTTCCTTACAGGGGAAGCTACAAAACAGACTGTCTGCCGTGGGAAGGGCTGGCACCCCAGAGCCAATAACAAGGCCATCCATCCTCAGAGTGAGGGGAAGAAAAGATATTTTCCCTTTGTCTTCAGTTGGAATTGGTTTTTTTTTGTTTTTGTGTGTGGTTTTTTTTGGCAGGGGGCATTCCATCAAGCCCACCACAGGCTTCTCTAGAGAATACCGGGAAATAAACTGCCAAGTGGGAGAGTAAACACCCTCCAGAGTGGAGGCTGACTTACCCTAGGTGCTCACTGCCAGAGGGGGAAGCACTGAGCCTGCTGAGGCAGAGGCGGTGCCTTGCCACACTGGATACTAAAAATCATGGACTGAATGAAGTCACAGGATTTATGTCTTATTACAACAATCTATAATCCACTTACCCCTGCCCTCCCAACCTACCCCTCCCCCCCACACTTCCCCCTCCTACAACTGGAGAGGTGTTTTCGGACTACTTCACCTTGAATGGTCCCTTGAAATATATAAGCTCGAAAGTTTGTCTCTCTCACCAGCAGCAGTTGATCCAATAAAATATTACCTCACCCACATTTTCACACATGAAAGAAAAGGACACAATGGTTTTCATTTAAGCTTACAGATGTGGTTTGGGGACTGAAGCCAGGACAAGTAATTGCTACAAATCTTTCCATTTGACTATAAGGAGAATTTCCATTTACCAGTACCAGTATTAAGTTATTTAGCATATATGTAGAGCAGCCATTAGAAAGCAACATAACACTTGAGCAGGTTTGAATTGCACCAGCAGAGGGCAATAGTGATCTATGGCTACTCTAACTAGTATATTATAAGGACCCTGTTAAGAACTGTTTAATTTTAATATAGTGTCTTCTGTTGGTTTGCACGGGAACTTCCTCTCTTGCCTTAATTAAGCAGGCAACTAAAATTTAGCCTGGAGGAATGTATCATAAACATATCTAATTTAAGACAAATCAGATTAGCTTCCATACTTGTTAACACTTCAGTTCTTCCCCAGATTTCTGCTAATCAGAAGCATGCAACATCTATACACCTGGAAGAGGTAGCAATTTTACTTTAAAGTCCTGGAAGTGGACAATCTAGAACATAGCAAATCATTTCACAGACTTTCTGACGGCAAGGGCCACAGTCTGAGATGGAAGCCACAGGAATTATTTGAGGCAAAAAAATTAAACCATGTTCCTTTAATTGTGCCTAACCTGTGTCACTGCTATGTAAAGAAAAGAAAAACAAACTGTCAACTTTTATGATGTTAGGAAGAAACATGATTATAGCAATTAATTGTTAAGGATGAACATGACAAAGTCAGAGTCACCTGATGCAGAGATGAATTAAAGTACACCCTTTCCCTGGTTCAAGTTTCTTCCCTACAATCATAATTTGAAGGTCTAGAGGAAGACTGGGTACACAGCTACAGTTAGGCTGATGCTCAGAATTACGAGTCTTTTAAATTAAGAGTTTATAAAGGAGAGAATCTCAGTTTCATCAAACAACTGTTTTTATCAAGGTTCTCTGTAATTTACATAGAGTGCATTGGGGAAGCCAATAAGTGATTCATGACAAAATTTTAGACAAGCATTTTGTGTTGAGCGATACACTCACAAACACATTTGGCGTAATGACTTGTGTGGCATTTGTGGGGATTTTGTTGCCCAAAGAAGTTCATAAAATGAAATTAGAGCAAAGGAAAATTTAAAATTGCAAGGAAAGTGTCTCAGTTGTGAGGTCTGTTAGACAGTGAATGATGGAGGATCCCTTAATGCATCAGCACCCTTGACAGCTATAGGATTTTGCACCCACCCAATCCCAAATTAGAGATCCTCCACCGAGAGAACACCTCCTCCACCCCTTCAATTGAGCAGTGGGGTGTTATGACAAAGGTGCACCAGCTGGAGAGAAATGGCTTGCTACTGGGAGATCAAGACAGACCAGGGCTGCCATAGAGTCCCTTTAAATGAGGAGCCATGTGCTGCCACTGGCTAAGTCTGTGACTACAATCAGTCCATAAATAATATTCCCAAGGAAGTGATGAAGCCCCATTGGTTGGGTCATTTAAAAGTGGACTAGGCAATTATTAGAGAATATATTGTAAAGAGCAATGCTGTATTGGCAAGGGGTTGGATTACATGATTCAACCGGCTATAATTTGAGCAAGGTATGCTTGTAAAGCACTCTGTTGCTAAGGTGTCAGATGAATAAAGTATAATAATAATGAACAATTAGTTTTAAAATTTAAGAAGAAACTAGAGATGTAGAATTATTATTTATATAATAGCATTAGGGCTGTACCCGGTATTAGACAAAGACTAGCTCTGTGCCCCCAAAGAGTTCACAATCTAAAATATACAATAGCATATCTACATAAAAGTTATAAGGCCAGACCCTTAGCTTGCAAAAGTCAGATAAAGCTTCATTGAAGTCAGTGGTGCTATGCCAATTTACTACAGCTGAGGACCTTGCCCACTGCAAAATATTTCATATATCTCCAGAAATAATCATTTGAGGTCCAAAAATGTTAATGCTTTCTTTCTAAAGTTTAAACTATTTTAGTAATTGCAATACAAATGTGTATTATTGACTATAAAGCATTATATGCACTAAGGGTCAAATTCGCCCTTCTGATTCACACAGTAGGTTTAGATTCCACTATTCTATTATCCTCCATGCGTGGTGCAGTCAAGAGAAGTCCTGTGGATAGTAGAAGAGAATTTTGCCCCAAAGAAAGTGCTCATTTGAATAAGTGATTCCCACCAAATCTTTTCATAGGATTAGGCAGAATTTTCTGAAATACCTTATTCTGCCCCCAGAGGCAGTTAGTCATTTTCCCAAAAGGCCAGGTGATCCAAATTTTGAAAGTGGGCCGTTCTCTCGTTCAAACATATTTAGGTAGCAATGCAAAATTTACCTCAGAAGCAGGTAACTGCACCTCTTTCCTTCAATAGTTT